TTTTTTTAGGAAAAAGTTCAGTTTAAATCCGTATATTTAAATAGGAAAATGGGCAGAATTTGACAAAATCCAAACCTTCTTGGTAACCAAGCAATTTCCGACTGTATTATACGCTACAGATAAAAACCACCTGTTCAGGCGTGTTGTACTTTAAGCAAACATTAATATACGCCTAAACAGTTTTAACTATAGCTTTTCTCCTGGCGGAAAATTTATGTCTTAAGCGATTGGTAGCCCTGCACACTCATCAACGAATGGTGACTCGGCCGTCACTAGCGACAACGGTCAACGTGTGTTCGCAGCATGGTGGGTGCTGTGAGAGTGACTTAAACGCTAATAAATTTATAGTGATAGTAGATTTGCGATGCATCGCACAAAGTATCCCGTTCAATTCCACTTTAAGCCTATTTCAAGGCAGTGTCGAAAAGATTGGTGACGAAATCCGGCTGAAATGGAGTCCACATTGCTGACAGCAACGAACAAGGGAGTTCCAGAAGGCATTTGAGAAGGTGAAATACAAGAAGTTTGTCAGCCTGACGTTTCAGATTCTCCCACCAGAGACATTCACAGATAAGGCTACTGGTAGCACAAGATCTGCTGTATTTACAGTACGTAGTAGCCACGCGACCAGATGAATACTACAAGTAGCAGCTCTCGTGATCACCGCTGGGGTTCGTAATTGACGCAATGACGGCTTGGCAGTCCGACCATCATTTCCAATGATCGCGAGCCAACTTACCGCCTAAATGTCACACCAAGACATGGATGATAAAATCACAACTTGGACGCGGGCGCGCATCAATTAAAATCCCAAGTCGTGATCGCGAGAGCTGCTAATTGTAGTACACATGTGGCCGCGTGGCTTCTACGGACTGTATGTACTCCGACGCCTGTGCCTCTACTAACGTCATCTGTGAATGTCTCCGAGGATGATGGGTTCGAGCGAGAATTACACAGTATTGGTGGGGACAGTGGTAGTGTGAGGGTGGTTGTTGCACGTGTACCCCATAATAAATACCGCACATGAAGGACTTTTTGGCAAGCCTAGTTTCGGGTTCGTGTCGCCTCAGCGACCTGCCCACCCTCTGCCACCTCCAATTTTGTTGACCTGATCGTGACACCGGGCCCGGATGACGAGAGTATGCGGTAGGTGATGCGCACTTTAAACGAAATCACACGCGCAAG